ATGCAATACTTGTAATCTTTGTCATATTTATTATTTCTTTAACATTTCACCTGAAACCTTTGTCAGGTACTCAATTTCAATACAGTATCAATTCTAGGATTAACTAAGAGAAATTATTAGGAAGCAACATATAAAACACGATCTCCTTTAATAAAAGTTTGAATGTAAGACACTAAACCTGTGGAGATAGGGTTAAAGTTTGGCTTTCATAAAAAAAGAAACCTAAATTCTATTCAGTGTAGAATTAAAACACAACAACGAAAAAGTAAACACTACGATCCAGTAAAGTCAAATTTTTAGCAACATTATCTGATTATAAACATTATAAATAATATTATCCCAAAACTTAATACATTATCCAATACTTTCCAATAATGTAACGATATATATATCACCACAATTTTCAACATTTTAAAAAGGCTATCCAGCAAAGAAACATTTTAATTGACACTTAACAGTTTGTTTTTCTCGTAATTTTTACGTCCATCATTACGTAGTCTTCACAATAGTACTTTAATGAAATTATCATAAGACTAAAATAGTTACTCAGTTTGTCAAAAAAAAGAATCACACAAAAAAAACGAGGGGAATCCTTGAAAACGTCGTGAAACATAGGTGCTCAGTGATTAGACTCAGTGTCCTGATGATGACAAAACCTTGTCGAAACGTTGTACATTTGCTGTTATGTTAAACTTATATTAAAGTTTTTCTTCATTACCCATTGAAGCCTTCTCCAAGAATTATAAGACTCGATGTCTGTGTAAGACCTGTTTAGACCATTCAATCAAACTATCAAGACAACTAATTAAGAACTTTTAATATTTTAATTATTTTTATACAAGTTCCTTGAATTTTAACCTTTTATCAAGACAACATTTAGTTTGTAATGGCAACCTTATCTTAAAGGTTTTGCCAACCTTGGTGAAAACTGACTCTGTAACCCTGGTGTGTGTTTGTATATGTGTGTAACAAAAACATTATCTTCGTTTTTTGTTTATGTTTTAAATTTTAGTAATTCTTTCCCAGTTTTAATGTCTTCAGCTAACCTAGTTTTGAAAAAACAAGAAACCAGTTCTTAAAAACACTCCATCAACTATATTCATAAAGATATAAGTATAAAATCGATAGTGAACACACACACACACATATATATATATAATTTCATTCAAATTTAATGACTCGAATCAATTTGCCTACATATAAGTATAATATACTAATTGTATATAAAGGATAAGAATTTTAAAGTAAAATTAACCATCCAGACTTGTTTGATTTTGTTTATAAGAAAACTTTCATAAAATGAGCTTTTATTCATTTTATTTAAAATAACTAAAAGAGGATAAAAAAAGATTAATGGCTGTTTTAAAGACCGATTGCTTTTGATTTTATTGGACTGGACCTGGAAGTTATAGCTTATAACATATTATTTATCAAGAATTATTCTTAATCTTAGCTTTTAATTACAGGTAGAATGTATTAGTATTATTATTCTCTTATCATATCTGAAAAACATTAATGGTTCCAACATAGCTGTCCTCATCTGAGTAAGCGGTATATTTATTGACTTGCAATGCGAAAATCCTGAACTCGATTGATCGCGATGGACAGAGCGCAGATAGCCCATTGTAAAGTTTTGCGCTAAAACAAACAAGCAGCATAGCCGTGGCTACAAGAACGACATCTTGGACAAACTTTCAGCTCTCCTTTATTTCATAGCATATCTCCTGGTCATCTCCCGAAGACATATTTTATCCTTTTTTGTCAGTTGGACCCCTTTTTACTCCTAATACTTTTTGTGACGAGTTCAGCATATGTGTAGCAGATATGTTCTCAAACTCGAACATAATAGACAGACTGTATGTATAACATTTTGTTGAAATGGTAACAGGTATGCTCAGATCTTGACCATGAGAGATACCACTGGTTAAATTGTCCTTAACTTTTTATGACTAATTAAACAGGTTAAATTATTAGAATGTCCACAAACTTGATTCTTTCAACCAAATAAACACTGTTTTGATTCTTTCAACCAAATAAACACTGTTTTGATTCTTTCAATCTAATAAACACTGTTCTGATTCTTTCAACCAAATAAACACTGTTTTGATTTTTTCAATCTAATAAACACTGCTCTAATTCTTTCAATCTAATACACACTGTTCTGATTCTTTCAATTTATTAAACACTCTTCTGGTTCTTTCAATCTAATATTTCTATGTTCAGTTACTGTCTGTTTGCACAAATCTTTTTGCTAAACAATGAGGAATATTTTTTAACGTGGCGTGAATAATCCCTATTAAAATATAAATCGACATGATAATTGATCACTTTATAAAAATAAAAAAATCAGTTTTTCTAAAAAATCCCGCTTCAGATATTTCGACTCATATATTTAAGATGTAATGTTTATCAAAAGTGAACATCTATATGAAAAATAGAATAATGGAAAAATTTCCCCATTGCAACGATAAACCCTAGCTTTTGTAATAGTTATCAACATACCTGCACAAGTTTAACATTACCTACATTAGAGTTCGTTCTAGTCCATTTTAACAAGGTAAACACGTTTTCTTTTAAAACCCCATCACTAAAACTGTGCAGGTATTCGTTCCCATTGCTGCTCCCCTTTTCTGGTGATAAAAGTCATTTTGTTATATAAAGTTTAAAATTAATTCAATTATTTTATTTAAAAAAATCTCGGTTATTATAGAAGTAAAAGTTACGTATACCTTTCGTAATAGTATTTTATGGAAGTAATGTCTAGCTCTTGCTCAATATTAATATATAAAGACAAGGCATAAAGTCCTATGGTAGGTCAGCGGTAAGTTTCTAGAATTACAATGCTAAAATATGAGATTCGATTCTCACGGTGGATAGAGCGCATACAGCCCATTGTGTAGCATTGCGTTAAAAATCCAACAACGTTTCAAATAGTTAAATATGTGTTATGACTCGTAGCTTTTAAGATTTTAAATAAAACGCTTCAACTAATACCTTCTATCTACTTTTGGTCTGTTTAGTTTGTTTCCTCTTTTTGCTAATGATCATTTTGTAAGACATCACTAATTTAATAACTTCTTGACATTTACGAGCGTTTTCGATACATTATTAAAGTTGTAACTGTTTGTTTGCTTGAGCTAAGTGATCCACAGAGGCCGAACTCCGAATTTTAGCATTAAAAGCACTCTAGCTTACTGCCGTACCACCGAGCGGGTGGGCATTAAAATAGCAAATAGTAATTAGTTAAAATGTTTTTTGTTATTTAGTTATCCATTATATTTCTAAGATATTGACTTAATTATATATATAGTATTCTTTTTATGGCTCATACTTTAAAAATATAAACTATGTGACCCAATAAGTGTTTTATGACCATTTTATAATAAAACTGTTTCGACATCAAATAACCCTGTTATCTTTATCAACCTTTTTCAATACTACATTTCTAGAGAACAGGAAATACAAAATATTCATTTACTTTTTTTGTTGTTGATGAAGGTATATAATTATAAGGAATCAAAGGTCAATTTTGGATTTAACTACAAAGAACATTATTGCTATTGCCTGGTGTCGTAAAGCGTGTTAATGAACTCTGCTCTAATAAGCCTCTTTTAGTCTGAATCGTCCCATAACATCGTCTATATATATACTGTTCTATTTGTGACATGTTAACTTTAGTGATAAATTGAAGAGGCTCTCGGAGAATCCAACCTTCGCCTCGTAATGTTTTGATTTTTGCAGCATCCAACCTCACCCTCAAAAACTGAGGTAAGCTACGATCCTCTTTCTATCCGAAGTTGTTTTTGAGTTTTTACCAATTTTTCAAAAAGCCAATTTGCTACAATTAAAATGAAAGTGGTTGACCACAGTGTGACCTTGACCTTTGAGCTACATTGTTCACCCAAACTTAATCACTTCGTTTTTGGGAGAAACTCAAATTTTCTACCAGAGGTGTCGCTAGGTGCCTAAATGATTTGGGGCTCGGGCCCATGGGTGTGGACATTTTTGGCGTTTCAGTATTATATCGATAGTGGTTTTTCTGTTCTGATTTTTCAAGACACCAACTGCGTATTCGGGGCATTGTCATCTAGAACCGGGGCACGGGCCCCGTGTTCCAGTGCCTAGCGATGCCTCTGCTTTGTACGAAACGTAGACAGATTCGGGTGAAAACTTTTCAAGTTATTCTGTTCACACACATGAGTAGAAACACCCATCGGGCGAGGAAAATTAATATCGTGTCTCAGTAAAACACAGCACAGATTATGAAACTCAGTGTATTTTGGTATACTCTGGTTGTTCTCTTTTAATATCTACTGAACTGATGTCTTGTTCTGTAATATCTGCCTCCATATTTTGATTTTCACTTGTGGTTCTACATCTCGGTATGAGTTGATGTTATTGCAATATTCATAGTATGATGTTGAATTGGTTCCTAGAATTCCTGTGGTAATAATAATACCTCTCGTTAACCATGTGGTAATAAATTCTACTCAATTTTAATTGGTATTGTGATTCATTAGTACTGTAGTTTCTTCCCCTTCAGTTTTTGCAAAATCCTTATATTTTTGTTATTCGTACTGTTTCACCGAATTCTTTTTCTTTAAAAGTTGCGTTTCAATTTCGAGTAAGTTCCTTAGCAAATATATTTGATCAAGTGGAAAATCTATAATTAAAAATGAACCTTCATAAATATCGTGTTTAAAATCCCGTTGTTTTTACAGTAAAATGTTTCGACCATTTTAATAAGTGCAATATCAAAAGTAATAGCTTTTGAACAGCCATGTATATGGTTTCCTTTTTTGTGTTGACTTGAAAGAATACTGAAAAAACGATACGTAATGAAAGTTTATTTCACAGAATTTTAATTTTGTGTCAAAATAGTTATATTTCCCCTCTCTTTCTCATACACACGCAAATAAATATGTATATATTTGAAATCTTTATATTTCTTATGAATTTCGCGCCATAATTTTATGTTTATGATATGATGTTTGTTAGTAATGGGTAAGTTGTGTTTGAGACTTTATTTTTTGTTTATCAGTTACTTTGTTTCAGAAACAACATTTATTACTTGAACGCGATACCAACATGTAATAAAACGATGGACAGAATCATTCAAATACTTCAGTGTTTTCTGTTTCTTTGTATATCCTAGGATATACTTCTTGTACATTTAAGTACACACATGTATAAATTTATAATTTATCTTAAAGTCCACGTACAAGTATAAATAATATAACAAAATTAGGCAGGAGATCAAGATTACATTTTTATTTGTATGGGTGGCGTTTTCCAAAATACCCTCCATGTAACAACGACCCGATTTTTAATTATTTGATTAATATAGCTTTCTATTAGGCTTTTCACTTTATTAATATCTGACACAGCGTATATGTGTTATAATGTGTATGTGTGTTATATATTTATATACACGTATGTATGTAGCTTTTATATGCGGAAACATATGTTAGCTGAGTTCTTGCACAGATCTTAGCTAACATATGTTTCCGCATATAAAAGCTATCTTCAAGTTTTGTACACCAAAAAACTTTTCACGTATGTATGTGTGTATTTGTTTCTTGACGCTTTCAAATTTACTAGTGTAGGTATGAGAAAAGCTCGACCTTCACTTGGAAGTTATTTTCTAGGATACAAGATACGGAAGAATGTGGAGACCTTGCCCTCTACACAGCGGAAGTGAATTCGGAAGATTTGATTAATTCTTCTATATACTGTGATGTAAGAATGTCTTATTGCTTACACTAAAATATATCTTACATTTCACGAAAAGTTTGAGTATTTACAACGATAAAGTAAAGATAATATAACGTTATATTATCATCAAATAGGATTACAAGTTTAGTAATAACGAACAAAATCTAAAACTCTTAGAGACCGTCACGATGTTTTTGTCTTACGTAGCGTTTTAACATATACATTTTTATTTTGTTTTGTCAAGGAGTCATTTGCAAAATATATGAGTTTAACTCTGACTGCTTATAAGTATTTTTGTAATTTCTCTGATGTTATTTCTCAGTATATAAAAGTTAATTAGGTTGACTTAAAGGTATATATATACACACATATACAGACACACACACAATTGTCAGGTTTAAATAGAAAAAAAGTATATATATATATGTAGTGGTTTACGTTTCTTGTATAAGAATGCTCCACTAATTTCAAGCTTTTATTGACTACCATCAATCAAGGGCTAGCATGGCCACGTGGTTAGTGTGCTCGACTTTCGCAATCTGTGGGTCACGAGATTGAAACCTCCGACCATGCTCGCCCGTTTAGCCATGGGAACGTTACAGTGTGACGGTCAGTTCTACATTTGTTTGGTAAAGAGTAGAGTCGGTAGTTCAAAATTAGGAACGTCAGCAGATAGCTTTGTCATAAATATACAAACCATCTGTGACAGCCAAGTATTACATCTTGAAAAAATACAACAAGCTTTTGTACCACAATAACAATATTGGGCGAGGCTTATTGATTATGAGGTGATGATAATTTTTTGCACTTTAACGTACGAGTTACGAGGAACAGATAAGGTAACCATGAAGAATGGTTAATTTCAGAAAAAGCTTTTAAAACTTCTAGAGAAGCTCTGAATTTAATATATCATACCGATCAGAATAAATTCGAATATGGTTAATTAAAAAGCCTGCAAGTAATTGAACTTGAGTGGGGACTCAAAAGTAAAAATTCTTCAAAACCGAAATGTTTATTTATAGTTAAGCATAAAGCTATATAATGGGCTAACTGTGCTTTTCCACAACGGGTATCGAAATCTGGTTTTTAGCGTTATAAGCCGTCAGAATTATCGCTGTGCCACTTGGAAGAAAAATCGAAACGATGAAAGCTTTGTCGACGTAGCGTAGATATCCTCATAGTATCGAATAATTAAGCACATGAAAACTTTGCTATTTCGTTATCAAACATGACTAATAGGGTTTAAAATAAAATCTATGTGTACAATAAAGTTCGTAAAATTATCAAGTTTTGAATTTCATAAAATATAAGTGTTATAAATATTATGAGGTATGTTAAATGTGTTTTATACCAATATCTTTGATATTTCCATATTTCACCAGCAGAGAGCTATGTTGTTCTGTTTTCTTTATTTTGTAAAATATAAATGTTACATGTACGATGATGTATATTAATTGTGCTTTATAGTAATATATTTTCTCTCCATATATATAACCAGCAGAGAGCTATAGTCAAGGCTACAGACAGAAAAGGTATGTCGACTATTAAAAGAGCTATAAATATCTTCATGTTTAAATAGCCAATAGTAGTGTAGACACTCTTTTTATTTACCGCATTACCTCAGGGGATTCATAATGCTAGAAAATAGTAAAAAAATAAAGCGGTTCGCCCTGGCATTGTGTTGTTTTTTTTTAAGTTACAGTCCTGTACATATCGATGCACTGAACGTACTAAACAACACTGTGTTACGAATTAGAATTTCAAATGGTCTGAAATTGAGTTAATTGATAATTTAAATTTAGTAGTTAAATTATATTCTGGATTTAGCATTTAAATATACACCGATATATAGTCAGTTTATGATATTTGCCAACAAGACTGATACACAGTTTTCTTTTTTTAACACAAATACGTTTTAATATAAACGCAACAATACAACTTACAATAACAATTATTACAAATAGTTATTACAAACAATGATTTATAAACAAAAGTTTCACAAACTCACAAGCAATATAAAGTCTTCCTTTTAGTCTGGAACTTCTTTGATTTCTTATCGAGAGTTCACGATGAGCGAGTTAATTACGAGTTGACGTAGGTATAATTCAATTCACATAAAGCTAGCTAGCTTTGTCCTTCGTTATTTACCAGCCTACTACTAATGTCCGATGAGAAACCACTGAAGTTAAACGATTTGTAATGTTCGAACTTTGTAAAGGTTCCTGGTCAAATATCTGAAGTTTTCCTATGGATAAGCGTTATAACAATCACAGTTATAGCTTCCGAAGTTTATAGCACACTGACTATAGCAAACTAATAATAGATACTCTATTTCTGGTGCGTCGCGTTGGTTATATTTATATGTGTATGGAGGCTTTCTAGAAAATTCAGATTACGTAACAATACAAATTTAAGCGTTTACGTACATACATACATGTATATTGTTGATTCTTACTCTCGAGAATCTTCTACAACTTTGGTGAATAGATGGGAGTTTCGCAATACATATTTAACACTATAAGCTATGCATATTTCTGAATATAAACTTAATTTCAACAAACGTTGATATTAAAATAAATATAGAATAATAAATTCGTCACAATTTGTTTTTGTTTTGTTTGTTCTTTTT